GCTGAAGTTTAGTCAAGAAAATCAACTGCAGACAAGCGATATGTTACGTTGTCAAACTTATACGATCCTCATCTGTCAATACTAACACAATCTTCTAAAAGAAAAGAAAAAAAGCAAATACATAATACTATCTATAAATATTTTTCTAATCACCTAATTAGACTAGACGTAGATTAGACATAGATTACCAAACAGTCTGTGTAACGCAAAACGTACGACACTAAATTCCAATGGCAGACATCGGACATCAGTTAACGTATCTTGCGCTTAAACTTCTCGTTTATATATTTATATATTTCCGTTTTGCATTCGTAAATCAACAGGATACAAAAAATAAGAAAAACTATTAATAAGAGAATTAATTGCGCTTTGACGTCCGTTTAATAATGAATTCTTATGTAATCTGCGTATATCGTTAGTCCGGTGATACATCGGCGTGTCAATACGTTCTCTCTCTTTTTTTTTTTATATCGACAACATTACTGCGAATTATATCCGACAGTCAATATCAAATAATCGAGACTGAGTAACGATGAGAAGCGTTCTTTCGCGCTGTCCGAAATTCTCCGTCATTGCAGCGGATGATACTGAAAAATCGTGATGAGTCATCGCGGATGTATCGCTCACTACGTTAACACTACAAGATTCATCATAGAAATGTGAGATGCTTGTTAGTCTCGTTCCAGGTAGCTCGTTACCGTCAGTAGTTCTGTGTCAAGTATCGCATAAGTTAGCCTCGACACGTGACACTCACGTAATACCGCGTAAAGGAGCGAAGAATTATGAAAGAATAAAGAAGAAAAAGGGAGTCACCGAGAAAAAGCGAGAAAGAGAGAGAGAGAGAGAGAGAAAACGCCGATCGTAAGCCATTATACGACTTTGACATATTTTCCTTACATTGGTCTCTACGATAGTTAAAATTTTAAAGAACAGCTTCAATCTTTTCTATTTGATGTAGCAACATAATAAAAAAAAGTATTCCATTATTCAGTCATTCATTTTAGAGTAGAATTATTTATTTAGTATAAAAATACCAAAAGTGAATTCCCGTTATAAAAAAAAAAAATATTTTTTACAGTCATTTATTTTCGTTTTATTATACATATCACATTGCAAATTTAGCGTAGATTCTTCCCGTCAACAAATCGATAAAGCTTAGAAGAATCAATTTAACGATGCATGCCTCGTGCTGTATGCGTAAGCAATAATATATGTCAATCCATTCGTCGCCTGCTGAGAATAGCAACAAGTAGCTGCATACCATAAACTGAAAATACTTGCTGCACATGGAACTGCATAGACAATGCATTGGCTTGACGCACATGCTTGTACACGCAGTTCCATGAATTATTATTACATACAAGACTATGTTGCTGTGTATTATGCGCAGCGGCTTATTTTAGCCAGGCAAATGTGCGTTCCTGGTGTTGCGATAAGGTATATGAAACGTTAATTCTCTTGGCTTTACTTGTAACGGAAATACTTGGCTAGGAATTAGCGCGTACGGGCGCAATTGTACACAGACGAGAAGATTATGCTAATTCAGTGGCAGTGATTTGTCGGCATGCGGTGACGACATTTGGATTTGCGGACAACTAAATGTAACTTACAGAAACGAAAATTCAAATAGCGTCGAAGTTCCACACGTGATAAATAACATAACGTAGAGTCGATAATTTAATTCAATGATTTAATTTTCGTCTTCATCACTTATTCGAAGACAGAAATTACCGTTTTCTGTACACACACATACACACACACACACACACACACACACACACACACACACACACACACACACACACACACACACACACACACACATCTGATAAACAGTAAAATAACTACTTAGTTTTCTTACGTAAATAAACTGGTATTGCCATGAACTTTAGTCAATAAAAAGTTCTACGATTAATTTGAAACTATTTTTTGCGTACAATAGATAGATATTACGAGCATATGCTATCTCTATAATTATCTTCAAAATGGATTGAAGAAAAATTGTTGGGACATAAAAATCTTGAGATCTATAAAAAGAAAAGATAAAAGAAATTTGTGTACAAAATTAAAAAAGAATTTCAAAATTCTTCTAGTTTATCAGATAAATTCGACTTTATCTTAATGACTGTCGTAATTGTGTATTACACCATTGTAAGAATACGTGATACGATTGATGATTTAGTTGCGACAACACGAAAATGATATAATATACCGATCCGGTATGACATTCGTTAAAGTTTGAAGAAAAATGACCGGAACGAAACGGCAATTACAGTGGCGTCAATATTACCTATATTAGCCCATTCAGTCGTACAATTCTTCACGCAATATATATTTTCTATGGTACATTTTTCACGTTTGCCTTTGACAACAAATAAAAAACGTCTACTGTCTGTTATTAGTTGAAAGGTGAGTAATGTCTGTTTTTTTTATTTTTCATTTGCGCGTTGTTCTGTAACATTTGCAGAAATGCAGAGTTTAGATATCTTTAGATTCAAATCTCCTGTTCTCCCGATACATTCTGAAACGCGAACGTCCTATCAATCTTCTTCTTGCAATTCGCATTCAACGGGTCTTGGCCATGGCATTAGATCAGCGATGACATCACAAGTAAGACAACAATGACATAAGAGCCGCAACAATGAAGATGTGTATTAATCGTCAAGGTCTATTTAATGGAAAATGTAAGCATTTCCGATCGACGGACGTGCCTATAAAGATATCAGAGTACCGAAAATATAACACATTTTTTCAAGAAGATTAATGAGGAAAAATAAGATACACAAAACTAGAAAGAAAACTATAAAAGAAAAAAATATATATAAAAATGTATTAATATCATATGGAATTGATTTGATTCTTGTTTGTTACATGCATCTCACGTGCCTCACGTCTTGCTGTGTCTCAGATATTGCATCAGGACGATGACCTGCACGATGAATTCTAAAAATGATACTAAATAAGATACTAATGATATCGCATATCAAGGTCTATTGCTCCGATTTTAAGGCTACGACAGAAAAAATTGTTTGCGAATCTTATCGCGTGGATGGGTGATCAGACATAGAAGAACACAACACGTATCAATATCACATTGATATTTTTAGTCGATCGTCACGATCGTTCGCGGCCGGATTAGCACGATTACTGGCAGAAAGTGTTTGAAAAGTGGTAAAAATACCTGGTCGCAAATCAGTTTTTCATTTTTTCATTGCAGCTGTACCTACATGGATGACGCGGCAGCGTAAGATAATACACGTATAAGGTAAAATACGTAAGTAAGATCATTGTTACAGTAATTTCTTCCGAGGAAAACTGACGCATTGGATTTTCACTGAGTTTTCATCTCTTTTACGCAGTATCATTTCGTGAAAGATAAAATCTGTTCATTATCGTGATTGAATGATTTTCTTATCGGCGGAAACATCATATATGATTCTCGTTAATCATTATTTCTCTAATGGATTACGTCGTATCGGTAAAATACGTTCCAAATCTTATCCAGAAACTATAATTTACGTACATATAATTTACGTACATAATGTACATTATTCATTTACACCGAAACAAAAATGTACATCTTCTCTCGGAAAATGAAACGTTATTATTGATGACTTATTATGTTAGTAAGAAATTCTTTTTTTTCTTTTTTGGAATTCTTACTATTTTTATACTAAAGCAACATATACGAAACTTTCGTTAAAGTTGTTATAATTACCCGCATAAGTTTCTAAACATCTTTCCACTATTTCTGCGCGGAGTGTCACAAGAGAGTAAAGGCAAATATATTTATAGTTCCGGTAACTTTATATAATTATGTATTTATTAATTTAAATATTTGTTATCTCTCGTACGAACTCTCTCCGTAAAAGTACAATCGTAAGTTGAAAACGTGACTTGTGAATTATTCTTTGACGAATTTTTTTCAATCGTATAGTGATACTATAAGGGGGGAAATATGGCGATATCTATCACACGACTTCTCGAAGAGCAGGTGCATACATGAATACGTGAGAGAAGGCTTACAGAAACGTCGGTAAGCTGGAGAAAGAGGATTTCGAATAACGTTCGCACGTTCGATGCTTTAAAAGATCGACCGCGTCTCCACGTTTCCTCGAAAATCTGACGTCCAGTTCGGCGGGATCAGCGAGCGCGAAAACATGTAGCAATCGTATTGTGTGCAGTGTGACGAGAGGACTTCGAACCATTTTTATCGATTGATTATTAAATCACCTTAACAAACTGACAGTGTTAATATTTTCAGCATGACTGAGAGAAATTGTGCGACTTTTTATGATACAATCAGAGCTTATCGGTCTAGTCTTTTTTCATCATTTAACGATCCACATGCCAATTATCAACTTGTTATCAACTATCAACGAGAGATCTGTTAAGTGAACATCTCTACGCCATTGGTATATATTTAAACTTACATGTGGCCTTCAACATACCACTCCTTTCTTTGCACGCTTTACATTTCAAAAAAGAAGAAAAGAACGCTGCGTGTACTTTAAGAATCTAGATATGAAATAAAAAGGTATATCAATTTTATGATAAATTGATTCAGTCCGAGAATACAAAACGTCATTAGATGTTATATAATATTTAAAATTATGTTATCTATTTCGGTAAATGCTGCGTTAACCGGAGTATATTAATCAACGAAGGTGTGAGTAATGCTAATTGTAATTACAATGAAGAATCACACACAGTCACGATGAAGAAATTACAAGCGTCGTTAGGTCGACAGGTAGTCGTCCTGAGAGAAGGCTGGAGAAGGATGGAAGGAGAGACGAACGGAACCACGTTGTACTTCACATCGAGAGGCGAGGATTTCAGGCTCTCTTTAGCGGCGCGCACCAGAGAGCGAGCAGGAACGGGCCGTCCCACGACGAGGCGCGTCCGTGGTGGGGTGTCAGCCGTGGCTTATCTGGCGACTTTATGTATATTACGATACCCGAGGCAGGAACACGAGCAGTTCACTGCTGGCTAACCGGTCGGAGAAGTCGGCGAAGCCGAATCGTCTGCGCGGCGCGTCTCGTGCACGAGAGAAAGAGTGGAAAAACGTGTTTGAACTAGAAACCCTCTTTCTTTCTTTCTTTTCTTCTTTCTTTCGTGTTTTGTCGCGTGTGTGCAATAAACATCACGTGTATCGCGCTCACGTTCGCGAAAACAACCGCGTGAACATCAACGTGGTGCGTCTTGGTGCTGCTCTCAACAATCATTTCGATCCCAGAATGATCGTTTTGGCGTGGTGCCTCTTCGTTATCGTTTCGTTCCTTGTGGCGAGCAACCAGGCCTTCCCCTTACCAGGTACGCGTTTTTTAACGAAGTTTTACGACGCATTTATCTCATAATAATGTATCTCAGAATCGACGGAATAAACACAAGATCTTATGATTCATTGTATAAGTTTTTCTCGCCGGAAATTACGATACTTTCAATGAATTTACGCATGATAATTATAATTGTTATTAATTATAATTGTGATGGAATGAATATATCGAATTTTTTTTTCTAGTTTTCTAATATATCCGTCAAAGGCATAAATCAGTTTTGCAAGATCTTCGGTCACTTTTGGTAATAACCTGTTTCAAGTCGATACTAGTACGTGAATCGCCTATCGATCGTGTGATCGCATTTAAATTGTTAACATCCTTAAATGACTTCAAACAGCATTACGTATTTTGCTTGAAATTAATCATAAACATTATTTAAATATTTTTCTTAGATCTTTAATTATGAACAAATATGATGAAACAGTGCTCTAAACGAGATTGCATTAATCACGAGTCTGTCTCAAAAGTAACACAAGATGACAAAAGTATTTTTTATAGAAAAATATTCGATTAATTAATCGATTTCCATAATATAAGTTTTTGAATTAATAGAATTATATATATTTTTTTAAAATATTTTTCTATGAAAAATACTTTTATGTAATATTATCCAATTTTTTATTATATATATATATATATATAATAAAAAAAATCAATGTAAAATATCTATAGCTTTAAAGCGTTCTATAATTTTAAATTTTACTTATATCTGTTTTATTCTTAGACCATTGTGAACTTCACGCCAGTACGCGAATTAATATCGCGTTAGATATTTCATTGGATCTAATACTCATAGGTCATGGACCTTACTTAAACTATTTAGGGTTAAATCTGGTGTCATTTCCGTTTTGAAATGCTTCGAATATTGCACTTGGATCACGGAGTGCTATATTTTATTGGAGCACGAAGAAGAAACATGATGTTTGCAACTTGAAGAAATTCACATACACCAAAATAAAAGATAACAAAAAAAAAAGAAAGATATAACATGTTTTATCAATACGCTTGAAGAAGTCTGGTTCGTTGGACCGTTTCAATCGATCCAATTCCGAATATAGATAACTTTATATTATTCAAAGCACGACGCAATCGATATGATTATGAGATTTCAATAATTCGATTTAATCCTTCAGTTTGTAGCCTTCCACTATTAATTAACCTAAGTCTAATCCATCTCGTGTCGGACCTTAATTTCTCATAGCCAATTAGCGCATATCTTAAGTAAGCATTAATGCATATATTAGCCAAGTTCCTTCCATCAAGGAAGACGAGAGATTTTCCAAGAATTATGTCAAATCATTCTTGATATTACTCGTACTGACGTGAACTACACAATAATCTAAAAATAAAATATCAGGGGAAATTGAAATTTAAAATTAAGCAACGCGCTTTAAAATTCATATATTATTTTAACATTTTATATATTATATATAATTTTAATATCAATAATATATAGTTTCATATATATATATATATATATA